GTAGAAGTAAAACTACTATGTCTGCCAATTTCTTTGATCATATCAGTAACATTAAAAAAAGTGACATGAAAAAATAGAATTCATACTGCCTTTGTTCTCTCCTGTAATTAATTTCTGTAGCTAGGGAGGCAATTTAAAAACCTGAATAGGGCTGGAGTGTGAATCCCTCAATGGTTTGAATAAGCAGCAGCTTACATGAGCAGCCCAGGGAATTACTGTAAAATTAGAGATTCATGATCTGATCAGTGCAGACCTGATATTATTTCTGGAAACAAGAGAATTTTGTTTTGTACTATATTTAAAATATAACAGAATCTTAAAGAAAAGTTGGGAGGCTGGCTTAATTTTACTGATTCTTTATAATAAAGCTAAGAAAAATATCTTACAATATGCTTACAAAAATGCTTACAATAATTAAATCATTAATCAGACAGTGTTGAATAGCTTTTTCAGTGCAATAAATGTATTTCTTGCCTTTTGTTTTAGGATGACAGCCAATGGCTTCAGAACCACTGTATGAAAATGGGAGATGCCTATATTATTGTATATTCGGTGACAGACAAAGTTAGTTTTGAAAAGGCCTCTGAGCTAAGAATCCAGCTAAGAAGAGCAAGGCAAACAGAAGACATTCCTATTATTCTTGTGGGCAATAAAAGTGACCTCGTCAGGTCCCGGGAAGTCTCTGTTGATGGTAAGAGACACTATTCATTTATATAGTAATGTCTAAATTAGTAGCAAAGGCCATGGAGGATCACAGCCAATAGAAATGCTCTGGTTTTGATGTAGAAAAATGTATGATTCATGGCACACCAGAGAAATCAAGACAGCTGGTTCATGCTGAGGGACTTGGTACCACAGAAAACCACAGAAAACAGTGGAGATGGTGTGTGGGGGGGAGATTTGTGACTGCGCAGAGCAGTGCTCTGAACTGCAGTACAAGAGAAGAAAATGCTTCAGAGCTGCAGCTTTAGCGTATTGTTTTGTGTAGCATTCATTGTTGTATTGACTGAAATGGTTTAACTGTAGATTATGTGTGCAGCAGCTAGTCTCAAGGTCTGACAGCTTGAGCTATGCTTTTTAAGGGACAGGAGTGCCGTGTTACAGAACCCAGGCAGCCTTTGAAAAGGGTGATCCCATACAGCTTGTACAATCCTCTTCTGGAAGTGAGTCCATCACATTTGAATTGAACTGGTGGGATCAGGCTCACACAACTTAAAAATCGTTTTGTATGTGTTCTCCACGTGTGATCAGTGAGAATTTTCTTAGCTAGTTCCAGCTAGCATTTCGGTAACTAGAACACAGTAACTACTGCCAACAACACAGTACTAATTTAACTTATTTAAACATTTGGTGGTTTTGGCTTTTTTTTTTTTGTTCCCCCACTGGGAAGAATACTCTGAAATATCAGTGCCTTGATGATGAACCATCTCTTGCTGTCTAGTTTTGCCATGTTCCCTGTGTTAAATGCCTCCATAGGGAATCGACTGGAGTTCATCAGGAGATTATCACTTTTTTCAGGCTGGTGGCAGTGCATGATTGACCTGTCCTAGTCATGACATCAGTACTTTGCTCAGGTCTACAACTTTGCCATTATTTAACCCAAGTTGAACGTGGAAATTTGTACCGCAGCAATGTTCCAGAGTTATGTGCTTGCATCTAGAACATGAGCATGTTGTGTTTTGAATGCAGTCCTAGTCAAATCCAATGGTGTAGAACTTTGTGACCTCTAGTGATCTGTTCAATGACTTGACCTTGTGGACTGTATCAGCTTCATTTGTAGCTAGCATGGAAAACTCTCACTTGTTACAGCAAGGCAAAGGTGTGTAATTGCTCAAAAACTTCCAGAAGAAATGAAAACCATTTCTTTCCATACCTCACACTGTTTTGTATCAAACAGCAAGCATGCATCCGAGTGCCCCTCCTATTAGCTGTAGCTCTTAAACAATACTGGGATGGTCTGCCTCGAGGACTATTACTGCCTTATATTCAGTACCATTGGTCAAATGAGATTTCTGACCATACCACAACAAAACCAAGAAGAGTAAGGGGGGAAAACCATGAATGCAAATTTCACTTTCCTACCACGTAGTAAAGCTCTTTCGTGGCATTGAAGGCACTTTCCTTATTTAAAGGCAATTTTTGTTTTGTTTTTCTAGCAGTCTATATGAAAAAAAAAGTCCATCTCCACTCATTTCCCTTTTTCTCTTTCCATCCAGAGGGACGGGCCTGTGCTGTTGTGTTTGACTGCAAATTCATTGAGACCTCAGCTGCTCTTCATCATAATGTTAAGGACCTGTTTGAAGGTATTGTTCGGCAAATTAGACTTCGCAAAGACAGTAAAGAAGACAACGCTAGGAGAATGGCCAACACAAAAAGAAGAGAAAGCATAGGCAAAAAAGCAAAACGATTCCTTGGGAGAATTGTGGCAAAGAACAACAAGAAGATGGCTTTCAAAGCAAAATCAAAGTCTTGCCATGACTTATCTGTGCTTTAGAAGCTTTCAGTAAGGCCAGATGTTGCACGTGGGTGATGAACAAGCATTTGACTGTTATGAGAAGTGTATGGATGATCCTCATGGTGATAACAAGAATGACTTATCAATTGAGACTCTCGTTAATGCCTTAAGGTGCATAAGCAAGTCCAGAAGTTACACTACAATGTCTGCTTCACTGATAAGTGGTTTAAGTTTCGATGTGTGGAAGTAAATGAACTAACTTTAAATAAGTGGCTTGACATGCCCACATTTTCACTGTGTACATATGTTATATATCCTCTTGTCCTGTGGATACCAGAGATGCAAAGATAAGAAAGGATGATAAGTATCACCATAGACTTGTCTTGTTTGCAGAGCAAAACTTAAACTTGTACGCAGGCTCGTACACTCTTTTTGGTATAAAGCAAGCAATGATAAATCTTTTTAAACTTAAAGCGGGGGGGAGTAGAACCACATTAGAATGGGGAAAAAACGAATTATATATATATATAGTTAAATACAGAACAGATACCATTTTATGAAGTTAATTTGCACTTCCATTAACTGTTATTCAATTAATTTGTTACTTGTTTACATGCAGATTTTATAATAAAGTATTATTTCCTGTTATAATAAACTGTGCTTTTCTCATAGTATGGATAAAGAGTGAAAGAGCAGTATTTTTATACTCCTTTTTTCACTGTACAAAAGGTTATACACAGACTATACAGATTTACATGTTATAAACTTCTGGAACAAGATGAATCACAAACAGAAATTCTGTGTCCTTTTCTTTAACAGGCAGTTTCTTTAAGAAGTAAACCCTGCTTTTATGAACACTGTATTTCAACAGCTCATATTGGGAAGGGGTGCCTTGACCCTTCATACTATTGCTCATCTTCAACCTAGTTCTCCTGTCAGCTCTGGCAGGAACAGGCCTCCAAATAATGCCTTTAGTTAGGCAGCTGTCTTGTGTCTATACTGATAAATTGAAGCCTGTAATGTTCTACCTTTAAGTCCTCTCCTGACTTGAAGGTCTTGTGTTACAGCCAATAAACAATTGTGGGGGTTTGGTTTTGGGTTTTCTTATTTTGTTTTGGGTTTTTTTTGTTTTCTGGGAGCAGTATAATTTTCTAATCTACTCACAAGCCTGTAGATACCTTCCTGTGGTTTCCAGAAATTCAAAGCAGGCTGGCAAGGCTGTTTGAAAGAATTGTAGGCTTTAGTTGAGGTGTATGGTAGCCTTCAGTACTGTTAAAGCTTTCATGTTCATTTTACTGTGTTATAATCAATGTGTTTCCATGATTTTTCCCTAATTGCTGTTCATTAAGTTAAAAAGCAATCATGTCTCTGAAAAACTTGGACTTACTGCATTTGCTTTATAAATTCCTCTTCATAGGATACATTCTCTTTAAATTTGTCCATAAACTCACTTCTCAAAAACAGTAAACCAAAAACAGCTCTTCTGTCTCTTTCTACTCTACCTGCCCAAGTCCAGTTCTTTAGAGAGATTGTTCCAGCTGTTTGGGAGCTCTGTTTCCACGATTTTATAGGGGCTGACCTTTCCCGTAAAGCAGGCAAATTGCATCAGCTGTTAAACCTTACATTGAGCTTCCCCCAGCTCAAACAACTAACTCCCCATTTGGTTAGCCCAGTGCTTAGGCACTCAACAGGCAACAGTTAGTATTGCGGGAAATGGCCTCTGATTTGCATAGGTAATGTTCTGCAGAATTAGTGTCTCCTGATGTGCTGCTGGTGGACCTAACTAGTTAGATGCACAGTTTAGCATATGTTGCTGGTAACAGGTCACATATCTTGTGAAGAGAGGTGTTTACTTTGTGTCCTCAGCAAAGTCTAAAGTGAGTAATTCTGTCCTGCTGCCAAAACTCACATTTACCTGATGATATATTTTAATTGGATTTGGCTTTTTTTCACTAGCCTTGCTTCCTGGCAAACTATTATCACTGGAATGTCTAATCACTGTTAGAGTATGGCACCAGGTGTCTATTTACACAGAAGCTTTTAACTGTCAACACCAAACCAAGTTGTCTAGTCCTGAAAACTCCACAAGAGTGTCCAAATTCATGTGCATAAATTTGGCATATACCTACTCATGCACATATCAAGTTACTGACAAAACTACATGGTGTTCCCTGTAAATTTGCAAATCTTCTGTCTTTTGGTTGCCCTGTGCTGTCAGAATGACCAGCAGAGGACTGACATGTTTGATTGACTTGTGAGATTTAATTCTGTCCATAATAAATACAAGGAATGGGATGCAAATGCATTCACAAAGTGCAAAACATTACAAAGATGCGTCACTCTTAATGCTGCAACATAACTGCAGCTGCAAAGCCTCCTCAAGGTCACAGTTAACAGCTGTGCTTTTTGCATGCTCTGACGTACAAATTGTATGTTTTACTGTGTTCAAGAATTCAAAGGTTAGGTTTGGACAACTCTCAAGCCTAAAATATTTCTGAGGTGCTCTAGCGCATTGCTAGAGCTTCATTTAAATTGTGGAAAATAATTCGTATTTTGAAAGTATGTCATATAGGACACTGTGAGACAAACTGTGAATCACTAATCTACAATGTATTCTATCAGTTAATATTGTACAATACTTACTCAAATCCTCATTATACTAATTTTTTCATTCATTTGTATAGGGATTAGCATAATTCAGCCACGGTTCATGAAAAGGGGGAGGGTTTGTTGTTATTGCAGCTCTGATAACAACCTGCTCTAGATCAAGATCATATTCTATGCCATAGAAGTATTACCATGAATACTCTTTTGCAGAGATTTTGTAGCTCCTGGCAGATCTTCCACCCAGAAAAAAAATAATTTCTTGGATACCATTTAGTGGAATTTCCAAGCAGAGTTTTTAGAAGTACATGTGCAACACCAGCTAGAAGTCAGTAACAGGCACCTGACAAACGCCTCTAAAAATCAACCTTCTTCCAAAGGCTATTTGTATCCTCAAGCATTTGAAAGTCATCTATAGATTTTTGTAATTTGAGATGTTTTATTGGTATGGATACTCAGATCCTTGTCATTAATGGGGTGAATCTATGCCATGTGAAAAAAACTGACTCCCAAACAGCAGTATTTTCTCTAATTATTACCAGAGTAGAACAGAGTGTAAGGGGTAAGAGTGGTGTGAGTTTTCTTATTTTTTGCCAGGGTACATCAGTTTTAATTTGGAGGGATAGTTCACACAGTCATTTAATTTTTACTGCCTTCACTGCTGCTGTCAGCTGAAGTTCCTATTACTGCTAATTGCGGTGGTGTATTTTGTGTTGGCACAAATCCATTTGGAACAGCTAGTTATGAACAACTACAGTGGAAGGACATTGCCTTTTATATGTGACACATATGTTAGATAAACAAATCAAAGTCTCCTCTGTTTGCTATTGCTAAAATAGCTCCTGTAAATTCTTCACCATATGAAAAAATGTGAAGAAAAATCATCCCTCCATCTGCTAAAACCACAAAGCGTAAAGTCATGTCACATAAATACAGACAAAATGTTAACTGCTGGGGGAAGACTTAGCATCACCAAAAATATAGTTTTACTCAGATGTAATTTCTCAAAATAGGACTAGAAAAAACAGGGCTTGATCTACATAGTAACGTTGCATAACATCACTGTTCTTTACTGAAAAGGAAAGTATAGTGAGTTGACAGTGATTAAGAATCCAGTGTATGATAAAAGACTGCTAAGACATAGTCTAAAAAAAAGTGGGGTAATACTTATTTATATTATGCTGAAATTTGCTTTAGTACTGTTAATTTTATTCAGAGACAATGTACAGGTTTAATTACATGTACATCACAGACACCTCACTGAATCTACAGTTTCAGGACCACCATTTAATTTATAATTTATAGTTTACCACATAATCTCTAGCATTATAATGGACAATTTGATTCCCTCTTTGCATGAGGGAACATCTGAACTCCAATACTACTGAAGTTATTAATTTCTAAAAGTTCAAATAATAAATTATGTCAACTGTCGTTGTGCTCTATGACATGGATGTTGAACAGAGAAGTAAAAGACAAAAAGAGAGAACAAATGCCCACTGCTTCTGTCCAAATAAAAGTTCTCTAAGCCCCGGTTCAGAATCCAAGGGGGAACAACATTGTTTAACGTAATATAAAAATATACTAAGGATTCTGGCACTAGAAGGTAGGAAGCAGGCTAAGAAATCTACTTCAACACCGAATTCTTCACCAACAAAATAGTATTAATTATGTACCACAAAAATGTTCTGGCAATTGGGTAAAATGGGCAGTGTATCTTTTAAAGACTCTCCTCTCTCTTGTTCTCTTTTCCCCTCCCCCTTTTTTTCCTATTTATAAATGTGCTGTCTGAATGAATCATTGCAAACCAATTAGGGGCCTACATAATTTTTTCTAATACTTCCCATATTTATCACAGCAGATGAAGAAAATATTAATCTGAACTAAAATTTAGCAGATTGAGAGACTGAGATAAATAGAATACATTTGAAAATATTAATTTTCTCACATTCCTAAAAAAAGCTTCTCTAAGGTCCAAAATAGGGGCTGGAGAAAGGACGGGATTTGGAGAGCAAGTGCTCCTGGTCAGAATAGTCTAGTCGGACCCATAAAAATCTCCTCAGCTTGTTTATGGCAGTAAGTCCCACTTTCATCAGCCTCATTACACTAGCACAAATAATTACACTACTGTTAGGCTTGCAGTCCCACTGAAGGTTGCGACCCTTACTTTGGGAATGATAGTTTTCAGTTTAGTACGTGCCTTGGCAGAAGAACAATAATTTTTGTCACATCTAAATTGGATTATTGTAATGCATTATGCTTAACAAAGAGCTTTCAGGAGTTCCAAGTAGTAAGAAATATAGCCACGTTAATTAAGCTGGCTAGGTCAAAAGGAGCACATAACTTCTGTGCTCAGGCCTGAGTTCTCATGTGTTTTTAGGTGAAGCGGTGATCTAGAAAAGCTGTAAATAGCATTGGACATGACTAATGTTGAAAATGCTTTACTTTGTTGCATGTTTCTTGGCTGGCTACAAAGCTTGTTGAACTCGCTATAAAGTCAACAGCATTGCTTGATTTTGGACTGCTCAACAAGAACAATCTTTGCATTTTTAATTGCAGATATTCCGGTATCTTATTACAGGTATTCAGACCACAACAGTTTGGTGCATTCAACACTGCAATTGTAACTGCAAGAGATCACGCTCTATTTATTACTCTTGTAGATCAAGGATGCAAAAAGCATGAAGCAACAGAATACATCTTCACTGAACTAAAACATATGGTGAATTTTAAAACTGCGCCAACTTGCATCAGCTCCGCTTCATTACAGGCCTGCCATTGGAATTTATTGAGGACTGTTCACCAACCGTCTTCAATGAAAAGAATAATGTAACTCTCTTTGGGTATCAATCAGGTGCTGAACGACTTTCTCACAGATTTTTTAGCTATGGGTATCTCAGTTGTAGGGCTTCTTTGTCACACGCTTTTCATGTCAACTTCAATTTTATCTTTCCAGCCTCCATTGTTACACGTTGTCACCCTTGCAGCAGTGGCTCAGCAGTACGCTGGGAATGGGAAAGTGGCACTCCTCTGCTGCTGCGTGACTTACTG